TTTTTATGATAGCTCCAACCGTTCTCGAGATATTCGCTAAAAACCATTCGCTCCTTTTCACATATATAAAAAATGCGTTTTTCTCGAAAACTATTTGAAGTGCGATCGAAATTTTTTAATAGCATTTTCCTTATGTCATAAGGTATCAACGTTGTGAAAATCATCAAAATCGGAAACAAAAAATTTCATCCAAAATCGGAATACAAAACGTGACCTAGCATCATGCTATAATTTTAGTTTTTTCTTATTTATTCGGCAACCGTTGAGAATATAAAATGCAGTTTTTTTCACGTTATTCTAGCCCACAAGGACAATTCACCTGACGTTTAATTGAAGCTTCTACGTGCCCGGAAGAGTCTGTGAAAATTAAAAAAACTAACAAATTTTTCGTCCATTTTTTGGGCATTTTTACTCGTGAAATCTTTAAGCGCTTATAACTTTTGAACGATTCATCGTAGGATATGAGGTTCCCAGATGAAATATTCTAAATCAAAAGATCTTTAACCCAGTATAAGAATTTTTAAGATACCTCTTACCGTTCGCGAGATATATCCGAAAACCGTTTCAAAATTTACAAGTTTGGAACAGTTAAACGCCTATATCTCGGAAAATATTCAACATAGATCATGATGTATATGAATGAAATATGCGCATTTAAAATATGTATCTGCAGGTGCAAAAATTTTTATGATAGCTCCAACCGTTCTCGAGATATTCGCTAAAAACCATTCGCTCCTTTTCACATATTAAAAAATGCGTTTTTCTCGAAAATATTTGAAGTGCGATCGAAATTTTTAATAGCATTTTCCTTATGTCATAAGGTATCAACGGTGTGTGAAAATCATCAAAATCGGAAACAAAAAATTTTCATCCAAAATCGGAATACAAAACGTGACCCTAGCATCATGCATAATTTTAGTTTTTCTTATTTATTCGGCAACCGTTGAGAATATTAAAATGCAGTTTTTTTCACGTTATTCTAGCCCACAAGGCAATTCACCTGACGTTTAATTGAAGCTTCTACGTGCCCGGAAAGTCTGTGAAATTTAAAAAAACTAACAAATTTTTCGTCCATTTTTTGGGCATTTTACTCGTGAAATCTTTAAGCGCTTAAATTTTGAACGATTCATCGTAGGATATTGAGGTTCCCAGATGAAATATTCTAAATCAAAAGATCTTTAACCCAGTATAAGATTTTTAAGATACCTCTTACCGTTTCGCGAGATATATCCCGAAAACCGTTTCAAATTTACAAGTTTGGAACAGTT